TGCCTTTGTTCCCGGCATATCCCCCTTGGCCCTAGCATACTTCTCAATTCTGGCCAACTTTAGTCTGATCTTGTGTGTTTTTCTTTTTATCTTCTGGAATCTGAGATTTGCTCATCGTGCTCTTCTCTTCTCGGATTCAGGTGCCGAGATCTTATCTTGCTCACTTAGGTTGAGCTCTCGTCTTCTCGAGCCTACTTGTCTAGGCTGAGATCATGTCTTCTCGGATTCGGGATCTAGGATCTGGAATCCGAGATCTGCTCACTCAAGATGAGTTCTTCTATACTTGAATGTTGTTTCCTTAGGAGGGCTCATGCCCCCTGTCTTTGCATCCCTTTTGGAAGGGTCTTCGTTCCTCCGCAGGTATCTATCCTTCCATACCCGGAGGTCATCTCCGTTGCTTCGATCTGTCGTCTTTGGTGCGTCACCTTCCTGACCGGCTTCTTTCACTCCGTGACTCTGGTCACGAGTTTCTGTGTTGCTATTGTCCCCTTCAACGTCGAGGTTGATAGATCTCCTATTCCCAGCAAGAGCGTTGTCTCCAGTTTGATCCTTCTGTCCGTCATTGGCCATCTATACTTCTTTCTCTCCCATAGACGGCGCCAAATTGTGTGAGTGATTTTCCGACCACACTGCCCGCTTAGTAACCAGCTGGAGAGCACTGGCAGAATAGATGGCACCTGACTGACCTGCAACAGAAATATAAGAATCCCGCGGTGGTTTCGACCACCCGGGGGCACTCCGACGATCAAGTCAGTATATCTCTCAAAGATAAATCAAATACTAAACTCACAAGCTTGAGTATCAAAAGCATACCTTAGACCCATGGGGGTGCCTCTCTTTTATAGCCAACATAACCTAGTCCCAATAGAAGCCTGACTTCTATGGACTTAGGATTACTGCTAATCTTGGACTCCCAGTTGAATTAGGATAAACTCTCTAAGAGTCTCATCTTTACCCAAACTGAAGTCTTCTCCCAATCTAGGACTCTTGTCTCTTATCCAGGTTGAGTTCCCTTTTCATTCTAGGACTCTTGTCCTTTTATCCACTTATCTCGGATTCCAATATCTTCGGAGATAACCTCAGCCTTGCCGAGATCACCTCGGCGTCACGACCAGGACACGTGGCACCTCGACTGACACGTTGGCGTCACCTTGCCACGTGTTGGTACTCAGAAAATATATCCCCACACTATCCTAAATATTTTTGCCCAACAAACCAAAACCTAATCTCTTAACAACAACAGCACTGAGCAGTCTCTTTTTTCTCATCTTACTCTCTCACTCACTCTAGTTCATATTCGTTCTTCCATCTCTCTCTCTCTCTCTCTCTCTCTCTGTGGCGATCGACGACCGGTGATCGGAACTGAAAGAAGTTGGTGGAACTAAAATAAGCAACTCTCTCTGTGGCAACCGGCGATTGGTGATCGGAACAAAAAGAAGTTGATCGGAACTGAAGGTAATGAAAAAAAAATGTGGATTTCGTTCTTTCCAATTTTTCACCTGTTCTCTTTATGTTGAAATCTGAAGGGTTGTTCCCTTTATTCGGGATATTGATTTTGAAGCACTGATACATGTGAACTTTTATTCAGTTCATCTGTATGTGTCATTGATTTTTTAGAATAAAAAAGGGGAAAACCAAATTGTTTTGCTTTGTGGGTGTTTTGAAGAATTTGAACTACAATTGTTTTGTTTCGTTAGTTTTTTCGAATAAAGAAGGGGAAAAACAAATATGTTTTGAACTAGTTTTCTCTTCATCTCAGTTCTTGAAATTAAATTATATTTTCTATTAGATTGTAAAGGTGCATATTTTGAATGACTAGTGACTATACTTGATTCTGTTTAGAAAGAAAGATATTTGCCTAACGGTAGGAAAATTTTCACTAGAAGTTTTCTTGAAGGCTTGGTTTAGCAAACATATTTTGATTATTCTTTTTAAAGAAAAAAGTCTAATTCACAAACCGCTCGCATATCTGCACAAACCACAACCCGCACTACTGGTGATTGTGGATTCAATTTTCCTCATACCGCACATATGCGGATGAGTCCAAACCGCAAATCGAACCGTACAAAATCGAACCGCGAGCATCCCTAACTGCTAGGGGCGTAAGTAGGTCGGTTTCGTTACTATTGAGGATATATTTAGCATTGAATTGATCCGTTTAGATTTCATGTTTGAGAAACCGACACATACAATATGTTACGGTTCGATTTTATCAATTTTTTTCAGTTTAATGTAGAACAGAAATTTGCATAAAGTTTTAAAGGGTTTTATAGTATATTATAGAATTTTACATTAAAAATGGTAAATTACACTAGTGGTCCCTATATTTTACCCTTGTGTCATTTTGATCTCTACACTTTCAATTGGCTCAATTTTGACTTTTAATTTTAGATTTTGTTTTAATTTAGTCCAATTGATAATATGATTAGTGTTTTAAGAAAAATTATCACTAAATTGGTTAAATTTAACTAACTTAGTTGAATAAATTTATAATTTTGCTCTAAAAAATATAACACATGACACTTATACAAGTATTTTTCATAAAAAAAATACTAAGAATGTAATCAATTAGATCGAATTGAGACAAAATTATAAATTTAGAGTCAAAATTGAGCCAATGAAATTACATGGATTAAAATGACACAAGAACTAAAATACAGATACTATCGTTGTAATTTGCCCTATTGAAAATAAATAAAAATTACTTTATAAATGTTTTTCAATTTAGTTTTTAGGGGTATTTTTTTTAAGGTCCATGATATTATGATTTTATAGTATAAAGGACATCAACTATTTTCATGATGTCTAAGGTCCCTCAACATCAATCAGAGAAATTTCAGTCCAAGAGAAAATTCGATCCAGAGAAAATTCAACCAGAGAAAATTCGATCCAGAGAAAATTCAACCAGAGAAAATTTAATCCAAAGAAATTCTCTGGTCCAAACTAAAAAAAATTCAATTCAGAAAAATTCAATTCAGTCTAAAATTTGCCTCTCATTCTAGCCAAAATGAGGTGTACAGTTTTAGAAACTAAAGAACGAGAAAATGAAAAACATGAGTTGCAGAGATAAATCTCTCAACAGCAACGGTATACGGACACAGCTCGTTGCCTTGAAGGTGGCATGCACATAATCACCAGGATGAGTATGAGAACAATCAGCATAAGAGTTGACTAGATATCTGGAGCTTCGTCTTCACCTTCTGCCATGATCAACACTTCTTGCTCAAGCTTTCTTCTTCTTTAGTTTGTTTCTCTGTAAACTGTCAATTTGATGCTTTTGCTTGTTCTTGTACTCTGCCTAGAATAAAATGTGAAGTTGTGGTTAACAACCAAGTTGACTTGTTAATTATTTAGTGCCTGAGTTGGGAGTGTACATTGAATTTGCATTTAGTTTCTTTGAATTTGCATTTAGTTTCTTTGAATATTTGACCTAAAATTCAGTTCAAATGAAAAAAAATAATCGCAATAGACGTTTTGTGAGCTAAATTACCAGAGAAATTCTCAATCCAGAGAAAATTCTCAACCTAGAGAAAATTCAGTTCCATTGCCAAATACCCCTGGAAGCTTGAACCCAGAGAAATTTGAATTTTCTTTGGTTGAATTTTCTCTAGGTTGAATCCAGAGAAAATTCAAATTTCTCCGGGTTGAATCCAGAGAAATTCTACTACTAAGAATGTGGAGAATTTTTAAAAAAAGAAAAAGAAAAAAAACCTATTTTAACCTTCTTCACTTGTGCATGTGCTTGGTCTTCGAGAAACCGTGGGAAAATTACTGAAAATTTTCAGATTCAGTGCTGTATTTTGGTTGTAAGTGGCTGTACTGATGTTTCAAATTTTCAGATTCAAAGCATCAATCGGAGCTCCGTTTGATGGGGTCTGGTAACCCTTTCACATTGATTCCCTTTCCAATCTTCTTCTTGCCCCAACAAAACCACCCACCTGAAATCGAGACAGAAACTTGATTTCTAGAGAAAGAGAGAGAGAAAGGGAGGGACAGAAGGGAGTAGAGAGAGAGAGAGAGAGAGGAGAGAGATGTGGGTGTTCCATCTGATCTCCCTACCTCTAACATTGGGCATGGTGGTATTGACGCTGTGGTACTTCGCTGGACCACATGTGCCTCACTACGTCCTCTTCACCGTCGGCTACACCTGGTTCTGCTCTATCTCTGTATGTATGTATGTATGTATGTACATGTCTGTGTGTGCGTGAGAGTAGACAAAAGGAACAGAATTTCTCTGTGATAAAAGAGAGAGACCTTAGAAATCAAAAAATAATTTTGTGAATCTCTTCCATTATGAAAAGTGGGAGAGGGACCCTAGACCAATTTTTTCTAGTTTTTATCGTAAATGTGTATTATATTAATTATTTATCATATAATGTTCAAAAAAATTATAATATAAAAATATTTAAATATAATATTTAGTTAGTTCAATTTGTAACGGTATAAAATATATTAAAATCAAAATAAACCACATATTATGAAAAATAAATCAAAAATTTAAATTTAAATCGACTTCAATCGATCAATTTAGTTTCACCGATTTTTCTTACATTCGAACTCACTGCCCTCGTGCTCATTGCCCACGAATATCGCTATTGTAATCAATATTTACACTGAAAGTTTTGAGAGAGAGAGAGAGAGAGAGAGAGAGAGAGAGATGGATGCGGGACGGCCGAAGTCAGAAATCGTGTTTGAAGGGTGAGGAAAATTTCAAACGAAGGGTGGGCATGGGCAGTCAAAAAGTCAAAGATCTTTGTTATTAAAAATATTCTGATCAATTTCATGTTCAATCTTCCCATAAAAGAATTATTCACTGCTTTCAAAATCAACCTAAAAATTCGTACTACGGTTATTAAACAGAAAAGAAAAGAAAAGAAAATTCTAAATTCACACTCACACATGATAGATAGAGACATCTACAATTCCCTATAAAACCACCAATCCAACAACTAACAAAACAAACATACCTTCCCATTACAACCACCCACATAAGCAATACTCCAAAAACATACAAAAAAAAAAACCATGAACAACCTACTCCGCCGCCAAATTCTCAGCCACCACCACCGCAACAAGATTGCTCCGGCGTGTGATGTCTTCATAAACCACCGGGGAACCGACACGAAGCGGACGGTGGCTTCGTTGCTCTACGACCACCTCGTACGTCTCAACCTCCGACCTTTCTTGGACAACAAGAACATGAAACCAGGTGACAAGTTGTTCGACAAGATTGACAGTGCCATATTGGGTTGTAAGCTCGGCATCGCTGTGTTTTCGCCTAGGTATTGTGAGTCGTATTTTTGTCTTCATGAACTGGCTCTGATCATGGAGTCGAAGAAGAAGGTTATACCCATTTTTTGTGATGTGAAGCCTTCGGAGCTGAGAGTTGTGGTTAATGGAAGTATTCCGATTTCGACAATGGACCTCCGGAGGTTTAATGCTGCTCTTGAAGAGGCTAAGTACACCGTGGGACTCACGTTTGACTCCCTGAAAGGGTGAGAATATATAACACGAAATATTAAATCAGTAACAAATTTTATAAATATTAATAATTAAAATTTTAATTTATTTTATATTTATAAATATAAAAGTATTTTTTCAAAGTTTCATTGAGCTGTAATTACCCAATATATAAATCCACCTAGCTTCCATCTTATTTTATTATTATTATTTTGATTAATGGATGATGTGACAATGAAACTCAAGCAATTATAATTATAATTATAATGACGGTTAGATAAAATACATAATTAGATTCTTATTAAAGTAGGAAAAGAAAACTTATATTAGCATTTAAAAAATTATAATTATAACTCTTTTAATTATGAGAATTGTTATTACGAATGGTTAATTACGTAATGATATTAAATTTATTGATTTGATTTATAAGTCATTAATTGTTTTCTGATTATAAATATTATATTAGTGGATTTTTTAACTATACAAATTATATCAACCAAAAAACTAATTATCTTAAACCATCAATCAGTTTGTTCCATATTATAGCACACATTTGTCCAACATGTATATAGTTCAATGAGATTAGGCATAATAAATTTAATTTATTCACTCTTGTTGAATCTTGTTTATAATCTTCTTTTGAAATGTGTTTTTTGTACAGGAACTGGTCGGATGTGGTAACAGATGCTGCAGATATTGTGATAGATAGCTTGATAGATATGGAGGAGGAGCGAATCCTCCGGCGAAGCCGCCAAAGTACTGGAATTTCTTTCCCAAAAGTTGTTCAAGCTGCCCGAATTACGAAGGCATGAAGATATGGCATTAAGAACATATGATTTTGGTTTATTTTTATCGATAATAAAACTTTAATATGTGGTTCTCTCATTCTTTAAGCTTTATGATTTGCTTTTTGTTTGTTAAAAAAAAAAAGGCACATATATATTATGGGTATAGAGACGAACATAAATTGTTACTCGTTGATTCTTTTGTAGATGCTTCAGTAATAAAGCTGATAGTTTAAATTCTGTTCATTCATGTATTTCTTGTTTAATTGTAATAGTTGAATTTTTTTTTACCAAAATAATGAGAGGTTTTTTTATTCTTGGGTGGCTTTGCCCTTGGTCTCTTGATCCTTCTGATTTGTTATTCTCTGATCCTTTGTAGTTATATTTAGCTTCCTTTTGGGAAGTGAGTTGACTTATTAATTTTTGGCTTTTTTAACTATTTTGGCCTGGGTTAAAAAGCTTGATTTGGGCAGATTTTTTAGCTTTTTGATTTTTTTGACTTTTTTTTTTTAGAGAAGAGTGTAATGATTATGGATTGAATGTGATGTTTTGTTTGTTGTGACTAAAATAACTTATTTTATTTTTTATGACTATTTTAATCACAAACTAACTTGCCAAACAACACCTAGGATGTTATCCAATGTTAAAAATTGTTTACAAAAATAAAAAAGAAGAAGAAAGAAAAGTTACAAGCTGTTGCTAATCAAATAAAATATTGATATAAATATATAATAGGGTTTACGCATCCCCAATCCAATCGTGGTCTGGTCTAGGTCTACTGTAGAACCACTTTTTATGATTTGTTAAATTATCAATGAAATTTTTTGTCTAATTTGAAAATCATAGTCAATGATTTCATCCAATTAAATCGTAATATCAAACTTACTATCCATTTGTTTGATAATTCTAATCGTAATATGGCTAGAATTATTAAATTAATTATTTTTTTTTAATGAATGATTTATAACTATTAGTCTTTTCAAAATGAATAAATCCAATAAAAAAAAGTAACTCTATAGTGAGGTCAAATGAAACATTTATTTTTTTTAATTTGAAATACTAATGTGGGATATTTACCAATAAATCTCACCTCACAAATAAGTACTCTAATTAGTTCTAAATTTTTTCTATTGATTTGTTAAGTTCTATTAGTGAAGAGTTTCTTTTCGTATGGTCCTATTTTTTATTTTGGTAGTGTTTTGGTGGACAGCAATATCTTTTTATTAATGTGATAGGTATGATGCGATACTCTAATGTGACAAGTATGAAAGTGACACTTCAATGATGTGACGGTTCAAAAAAATTAAAAAATTCTTAGTGTATTTTTTTTTTATTTTAAATGTGACAACGTAGTAGATATATCGTGGCGCTCTAAAACTTTCACTCCAAAAAAAATAAAATAAAAACTTCTTAGTGTACTCTTTCCAAATGTGACAACGTGACGGATATGATGTGACACTTCGAAAAAAATAAAAACTCTTTACTGTACTTTTCTCAAACGTAACAACGTAACGATTATGATGTGACAGTCTAAAAAAATAAAAACTCTTTAGTGTACTTTTTTCAAACGTAATAACGTGGCAGGTATGATGTAATACTCTAAAAAAAATAAAAACTCCTTAGTGTACTTATTTCAAATGTGACAATGTGACGGGTATGATGTGACACTTCAAAAAAATAAAAATTCCTTTATATACTTTTCCCAAATGTTACATGTAATACTCCAATGAAAGAATGAAAGAATTTTAAAATAATGATGGGAACTACATTAAAATAAGAATGAAAGAATTAGGTTAAAATTGATAAAATTAGAACTTTAAGATAAAAGTGAAATATTAACAAAATTATAGAGATAATTTATTAAATATACATCTATATTTATTTACAAAATTGTTTGCCCAACAAATCTTTAGATGCTATATTTTAATCAAACTAAATTTTCAAGTTAATTTTCACATCCACGAACAAAGATTTTGCTTGTGTCTCCAAAATTTTATTACATTTCTGTTGGCTTATTTTTCCTACGAAGGAAAATATCATAAATGCGAGCGTGCCAGCAAGGATTGAAAAATCCTAACAAATTAAATTCAAGCCAATTATCAAGCGATTGTGTTGACAGTTCTTTTGCCTCAACGAAGAGGACTTCAAATTTGCCAAGTGTAGCGAAAAGAAAAAGTAAAAGAAGAAAAAGGGACGGAGAAAGATGATTGGTGCATAAAATGCTTCGAAATGGAAATGCTGAAAATAAATGCTTCGAAATATAAATCTATGTTAAGCTACTCCTAAGATAAGAAAAATGACAAGAAATATTGAAATCAATTGTCTTTGATTTATGATTCTCCCCCATTTACAATGTAGCCATTAATGGCTATTTATAGAAGAAAAAATACAGCAATAACTACTTAGTAACTACCCATTTCTTCCATCTTCATTCTTGTCTTGCCATGTGTCCTTCCACTCATCCACTTTGTCCTCCCACTCATTCACTTTGTCCTTCATATTCTCTATTATCTCTATAACTTCTTTTAACTTCCAAATGAATAAGAGGATGCCACTTGTCCTGCAATTATATAAATAATAAATAATAATAAAAATTGCAGATTTGTGGTGCTAACATTACCCCCCGCGGCCCTTAAAAATGATGTTTATTTGAATTTTTGAAGGGCCGAACCAAGCACATGACTAACCTAAGCAGCAAAGTGATTCAAATGATGTAACAACACCAATAAAGTGCTTCGAATGAGTATGAAATTATGACTAGATGACTCGAATTATTACTAGTAACAAGCTTCGAAAGTGATATAAAGGACCAAAATCATTCTTCGAAGGTCAATGGAACCGACAAAAGACGAATTACATCCTCCAAAATACTCGACAAAGCTTCGAAGGTTCACAACCACCATTATTATTTCTTCGAAGCTGTTATTGATGCAAGATAGAGTGCTTCGAAACTTACAAAATTATGGCAAAACGACTTTCGAAGCTGTTTTTGGCCAACCATTGTGGTTTATTCAAAACTTATATGACTCTTAACCTTGCATGCTCACTTAGATGAGTGTGCGGTGTTATTACGAGACTGGGGGCGTGACATACATATTTTTGTAAAGATGAATAAAAAATTATAAATATAAACGTTATTAAACATATTCTAAAGTACTCTTTGACAGTGTTATAGTCTACTATTTTAATTTACAGAAAATATTAAACATATTTATATTAATTTTAGGTAAAAACGAAAACAAAAAACGTGTTTAGTATACAAGTATTTAAAAAAAAAAAATACAAAACAAGTGAAAAGGAGTAGTGGCTAAAGATGGCTGTCCCTGGTGAGGTGGTTAACTTGACAGTGGTTGTAGGTAGTTGATAGACATGGAAAGTGTTGGCTAAAAGTGATTGTCGGCGGTTGAAAATAGTGGCCAATCGGCCTTGAAGTGGTAGTCGAATGTAGTTTTCAATAAAACATGGTGGTTGAAGGTGATTATCACAGTGGGAGATGGTTGGTGGTAATAGAAGGTGGTTGGCAGTTAAAAGAGGCAGTGGCCAGAGGTGGTTAGAGAAAAAGTTCATTGGTAATGGTAGTCGGTAGTAATGACCAGTGGGTGGTGATTGGAAAGGGTAGGAGAAAGAAGAAATGAATTTCCATTTTTAAATTAAACAAAAAAAAAATTGAAACCGATTTTTTTACGTTTATAAAATTTAATAATTTTTAAAAATTATTTACAATTTTTTGAAAATAAAAACGTAATCCAAACATCTTTTTATTTAAAATTTTTATAAATATAAACATTACCAAATAATTTCTGAAGGTGGGATTCACAATTGCCCAACACAAAATTTCCCTATTATAGCAATCTACTTGGAATTAGATTAAAGTCTTTGTCCACACTAGGTAACCAACTTGTACATTCGCAGTACAACCTTTTATATTATTTTTCTATTTGTAAATAAGCTTCTTTTTGCTACGGAATAAAACTTGTTAATACTAGTTATATACATACTTGATGAGTGTATTATTAAATTTGTAAAATGTAAATTTTAATTTTAATTTAAAAGTATATATATTGTATGATGCTCAAATGATAAAGATATTCTCAGATCGAAGATTTTGGATCTGAACTCATTCACCTCTCTATATAAATTTGTTGGCTTATTTTTCCTACGAAGGAAAATATTATAAATGCGAGCGTGCCAGCAAGGATTGAAAAATCCTTACAGATTAAATTCAAGCCAATTATCAAGCGATTGTGTTGACGGTTCTTTTGCCTCAACGAAGAGGACTTCAAATTTGCCAAGTGTAGCGAAAAGAAAAAGTAAAAGAAGAAAAAGGGACGGAGAAAGATGATTGAGTGAAGAATCAAAGTAATAATTACTTACCTCTACTCCTATGCTTCGAAAAGAAAGTGCATAAAATGAAAATAAATGCTTCGAAATATAAATCTATGTTAAACTACTCCTAAGATAAGAAAAATGACAAGAAATATTGAACTCAATTGTCTTTGATTTATGATTCTCCCCCCTTTACAATGTAGCCATTAATGGCTATTTATAAAAGAAAAAATACAGCAATAACTACTTAGTAACTACCCATTTCTTCCATCTTCATTCTTGTCTTGCCATGTGTCCTTCCACTCATCCACTTTGTCCTCCCACTCATCCACTTTGTCCTTCATATTCTCCATTATCTCTATAACTTCTTTTAACTTCCAAATGAATAAGAGGATGCCACGTGTCCTGCAATTATATAAATAATAAATAATAATAAAAATTGCAGATTTATGGTGCTAACAATTTCATGTCATATTTCCACCTTCTGTCCATCGAAATTGAAGGTATTTTGTGAACGACAACGTTGTGCAGCCAGTATCCCATCATCAGTGGGCCTGAAAGAGGGGGACACAAAATTTATCATATTTTAGTCATAACAAACAAAACATCACATTCAACTCATAATTATTACACTTTTCTCTTACAAAAAAAGTCAAAAAAGTCAAAAAGTCAAAAAGTCCTTCCCAAACCAAGCTTTTTAG